GAGTTGTGAAGTCCTTGTAATAGAGTTATTACAAAGATGCTTGTATTAGTGTTGTTACAAGTTAGTGAGTGATTAAGTATTTGTAATAGAGGTATTACAAAGTGGCTTGTAGTAGTGTAGTTACAAGTTAGTGAGGGATTCCTAGGTTGCATAGGTTTTAATCTAAAGATTAATCAGTAGTGAAGTTTAAATCTTACAAGCGTAAGTCGTGGTTCTTAATCCCGTTGAGCCGGGAATTTTCCATGTAAAATTCTCTGTGTCATTTACTTACTGCAATGTGCGTGTGTTCTATTGAACCTGATAGAGAATCTGGTTCTCTATAGAGTTTGGTGGACCCTTAAATTCTACCAACTAGTAAGTTCTTCGTTTTTGCCATTTAGTCATTCCTCTTTTGTGGTTTACTTTGGCTGACTCTCTTTTCCTTTTGTACTTCCCTCAATTTCAGCTAGGGGGTCCTCGAGGAGGTCGAGAGCTCCCGCACCCGCGTTCCGTAAGAGGAAAGTTGTTGCCTCTTCGGCTCCCACCTCTTTTATGACCAAGACAGGTTCTACTCACTCCTCTGTCCCTCCCGTTGTTGTTCCGGTATCTATTCCTTATTTAGCTATGGAGACTTCGGCCGCGGAAACGTCGACTTCTCTTTTACATTGTCTCGTAGATGAAGAAGAGGAGTCGTTGCCAAGTGACGGGGACTTGATGCCTCGTAAGAGGAGATCTGCGGGTGTAGGCGACGTAGTCGCCCGAGACATGGACTCAGTAGCGAGTGATTTTACGCTGCGCGAGATGGGGTCCATTATCATTGAAGACGATGTTGGCTTAGTGTCTGAGATTCCGAGATTGGTATAGGCTGACGATGGTATGTCTCTCCCATTTGTGATGACGGAGGCCGAAGGGCTGGCCACTAGAAATTTTGATACTTCGCATTGGAGGAGTTGTCGGCATCACAGTCAGTTGAAGAAGCTTCTTTGCCGGCCGATGGGAGAGGCAAAGGCGTTGCCGAAAGGAATTGGAAGAATGCCAATTCCAGATAGAGGTCCTTAATGGCGAAGTCACCTAGAAAGTGGAAGAGTTGGAGAAGGCGGTGCGATTGGAGGCTCTGAATAAGGTGGAGTCCCTTGAGGTGGTGATTCAGACTCTCAGCTCTAATCAGGAGAATTACATAGCGATGGCCAGGCTTAAGGAAGAACGAATTGACGAAAGGATCGGGGAGTTGGAAAGAGAGGCCTCTGTTCTTCAAGATCGAGTGGTTGTCTTGGAGGCCGAGAAGGCCCGATTACTGGAACAACTGTCCTCTTCCCGTACTTTGATTTTCCCTAACGTTCCTTGGGATTTATATGATGAGTGGATACATGCCGAGGCTCAGCTAGATATCTTTCGAGATTTGCATGCGGCGGGGTTCGTTTCTGATGAAGCCCTTGAAGGTTTTCGTGTAAAGGCCCGCGAAGCTCGACTCACTTGTGGATAGGATCCTACTACACTTGATACCGGCGAAGGCGATGATGAAGGTGTGGATCGACTTGAGGAGGCTGCATGGTACGATACCGCCTACCCAGAAGGCGAAGGCGACGGTGACAAGGGGGATCGCAATGGCGAGTGCAGTGTTGTCCAAGGCGGTGGAGGAGTAGGAGATCCAGATGGTAGTGCTCAGTACTTTTTTCTTCCATTGTTTCTAATTGAAATGACCCTTTATTTGCCTTTGCTGCGATTTTTTACAGACCGCCCCAATTTGTACCCAGCTTGCCTTCTCTAGGGTCTTTGCTCGCTTGTATTTGACCTTCAAGTATGTAGTCCCCGACTTTGAGCAGCCTGACCTTTGCTTTATTGTTATAATAGCGTTATGCTTGTTTTTTTTTGGGCGATCATTCTTATATAGGCCATATCTCTTCGTTCGTCCACTTTGTCGAGCTCTTGCCTTCTGCTCTCGTCGTTGCTTTTACTACTCTCATGGGAGTACCTTGGGCTGGATTCTCTGACCTCGACTAGTATTAGTGCCTCCATCCCATAGACCAAAGAGAAGGGTGTCTCTCTTGTGCTCGTCTTCAGAGTTGTTGGTAAGCCAACAGTACTTCTAGTAGTATTTTCGGCCACGACCCCTTGGTGTCTTCAAGCTTTTTCTTCATAATGTTCAGTATCAACTTGTTGGAGGACTTTGCTTGCCCATTGTCTACGGGGTCGTACGGTGTCAAGACTATCCTTTTAATATGCCATTTGTCAAAGAACTCGGCGGTTTTTTCCCCCCGAATAGGGGTTCGTTGTCGCAGCTAATCTCTTTGGGAAGGCCGGACCGCATATGATGTTTCTCCATATAATGGTGATTACTTCTTGTTCCTGTATTAGGGCGAATACTCCTGCTTCCACCCATTTATAGAATAGTTAGTTAAATCCAAAAGGAATTGTATGTTACCTCGCCCTGCCGGGAGGGAACCCACAATGTCCATTCCTAATTTGATGAACGACCAAGGTGAGGTGACCGAATGGAGGTGTTCGCCCGCTTGGTGAATCATTGGGGCATACTTATGGCATTGCTCGCATCTCTTCACGAAGTGTGCGACCTCTTTTTTTATGGTGGGCCGTATGGGGCATCTAATCAATGCCCGATTGCCGGAGTGAGCCCTGCAATGACCTTCATGGACTTCTTCAAGGATGCATCGAGTTTGATTTGGGCCCAGGCATTTTGCTAAAGGGCTACCGTAAGTTCTGTTATACAGGTTGTTGTGGAGGATTCTGTATCTGGCCGCTTGCATTCTATGTTTCTTGGCTTTTTTTATCATCTGGAAGTGTGCCGTCCTGCAAGTATGTAATAATACGATTGCGCCAATCCCAAGTTAAGCTTGTGGTTCTTACCTCGACTTGGTCTAGTGATGAGTTGAGGAGGTGGCCCACAGTTTTGTCTCCGGTTATGATGTTTTTGGTTGATGCGGCTAGTTTAGGGAGGCCACCCGCCTCAGTATTTTGTGCTTGTGGAATTTGTTCGAGCTGGCATTCGTCGAACTTGGGCAGCAGCTCGTAGATTTCGGTCTGATATTTTTCCAAGCTTTGTTTCTTGATTTGGGAAGTCCCTATGACTTGGTTGACTATGAGTTGGGAATTATAGAGTAGTTTTAACCGTTTTGCCCTATACATGAGTGCTAGTCTCAAACATATAATTACGGCCTCATACTCGACCTTGTTGTTAGTCATATTCGGGCACCTTATGGACTGGCGAATTACTTCGCCTGTTTGGAGTTCGAGTACCAGTCCCAGCTGGATCATGATGCGTATTGGACCCAAAGGTCTTGTACTTGGGTGGAAGTTGGATCCTCTTCACTTTCGACCTCGGTCGAGTCAGCGAGCACTTGTGACTTTATCGCTGTTCGCGGCTGGTACGTGATATCATCCTCGCTCAACTCGATGGCCCATTTGGTCAGCCTTCTCGATAGCTCAAGTTTATGCAAAATGCTTCTTAGGGGGAAAGTCATGACGACCGAGATGGGGTGGCATTGGAATTACGATCTAAGCTTTCGTGAAGCTACGACCACGGCCAAGGCCATTTTCTCGAGATGCGGGTACCTCGTCTCTATATCAACTAATGTTTTGCTAATGTAATAGATGGGGGATTGCATACCTTTGTTTTCTCAAACCAGGACTGTGCTTACAACTACTTCGGATACAGCTAAGTAAACGAGGAAGCGCTCCCTCGGCTCTGGTTTTGAAAGCAAGGGTGGCGACGATACGTACGCCTTTAGTTCCTTTAGGGCATGGACGTATTTAGAAGTCCATTGGAGGCCGTTTTCTTTCTCAAGTACGCCAAAAAATTTGTGGCACCTGTCCGATGATCGTGAGATAAACCTTGATAGGGTGGCAATACGGCCAGTCAACCTTTGAACTTGCTTTTTGGTGGTTAAGCATTCTGGTATCCCCTCGAAGGCTTTGATTTGGTCAGGATTGACCTCGATCCCTCGCTGAGATACCAGTAAACCTAGAAACTTTCCTGAGGCCATGACGAAGGCACACTTTTTCGGGTTCAGCTTCATTGCGTACCGTCTGAGTATGTCAAAAGTGTCTTTTGGATGGTGGATGTGGTCTTCTTTCCTTATGGACTTGACCAACTTGTCGTCTATATAGACTTTCATCGTTTTGCCAAGCTGGTCCATGAACATCCTTCTCACCAACCTTTGATAAGTTGTCCCCGCATTCTTTAGCCTAAAGGGCATAACTCTGTAGCAGTACGTCCCTTGACGGGTGATGAATATGGTTTTCTCCTGATCCTCTTCTTCCATGAGGATTTGGTTATATCCTGAGTAAGCATCTAAGAAGCTCAGTAGTTCATGCCCAGTCGTTGCATCGATGAGTTGGTCGATATGAAGCAACGTGAACAAATCCTTGGGGTATGCTTTGCTCAAATCTGTGAAACCCATGCACATCTGCCATTTCCCATTCTTCTTTCCACCATGACCACGTTGGCGACCCATTTGGGATACTTAAACTCCCTGATGGAACCATTTTCTAACAGTTTTTCCACCTCTTCGCGTACTGCATCATTAATTGCAGGGTTGAACTAATGCCTGACCTGTCTCACTGGGGGTGGAATGGGTCGACGTTTAATTTGTGCATGGAGATTTCCTTTGGGATGCTTGGAATATATGCATGGCTGAAAGGAAACAAATCTGCGTTAGCTGATATGAATTGATGGACCTTACCCGGTTCCTGAAGTTTACAGCCGATGTAAGCCTTCTTGTTGTGGTCTTTAAGGTCTAATTGAACGGGGTCGAGGTCTACTATGTTCGATCCGGCAACATCAACCATATCGGGGTCTCTGATGTTGTCCCCGCTATTGGCATGTTCCGACCTTGACCCTACTAATTTCTACGCTTCTATTTCCTTGTCCCTTTTCTTCTGGGTGGTCGTGCTGTCTAGAGCGATGCGGTAGCATTCCCGGGATGTGCATTTTTCCCCTCGTCTACTGAATACTCCCCATGGAGTTGAAAATTTGACGACTTGGTATAAGCTGGAGGGGACGACCTTCATGGGTGTATCCACAGTTGTCCCACTATGGCATTGTACACGGTGTCCTGGTCCATGATGTCGAATGTCATTTCCAGAGTCATGCCGCCGGCCAAAACGGGGAGTGTGATTTCTCCGGATATCTGCTCAACTTCATTGTTAAAGACAGTTAGCGCGATGCAGCGTGGCACTATCTTGTCTTTGAGACTCATCTGGGCAAGCACTCGGGGATGGATAATACACGCACCGCTCCGGTCATCTATCATAATGCGTTTATCATCAGTATCCAAAATACATAAAGTAATAACGAGGGCATAATAATGAGGAAACGTCAAACCATCAGCGTCCGACTTATCGAAGATGATACTTTCTTCGAGTTCGTCGTACTGCTCTTGGGTGATTGATTGCTTGAGTTTGTGAGTATTGGTGAACTTCATATGTTAATGGAAGCGTCATCGCTGCCGCCGATGATCATGTTGATGGTTCGAGCTGGTTAGGGTGGTTCTGGCGGTCCTTGTTGTTCGTATCCTCCGACGAAGTTAGTTCTTCCCCTGTCACTCAATAACTATTTGAGGTGACCTTATCGTAACATGTTTATGACTTCTTGCTTTAGGGCGATGCAATCCTCAGTTTTGCGTTCTCGTTCCTGGTGGAACTCACGGAGGGCGTCGGACTTTCTAGTATTCGGGTCCGATCTCATCTTCGGCGACCACTTCACTCGTTCGTTCCGATGAGTTCTCTTCCTTGGCCTAGGTGGACCCTTTTCGTGGCGGGGAGAGGGCGTAGTGGCCGCCCTTACATATGGCTAATGTCGTTCCCTGTTAGGTAGTGGGATTGGATGATCTTTTCTAGCATTTTATCTTCGATCATTTCTTGTTTCGGCTTGTACTGAGGTTAGTCTTTGGGTTGGTCCGTTGAGGTTGTCTTCATCTGCATGGACCTCGGCACAATAATCATTGTGGATTTCGTCCCTAGTGGTTGGGGGTGCTTCATAGCCGACTTAATAGTTTCCTAGTTGCTCTCGAACCATCCCTACTTAGCACGTTCTGAAAAGTTGCGATCGCCATCCCTTTGGATACGTTTGGCAAAGTCATCCTTACTCGGTTGAACCGGGAGAGGAAGTCCCTCAGTCCCACTAGCTCCCAGAGATTGTTTAATAGAAAATATGTTGTTCACTCTCGCCTCGGCCTTTTTGGCTCCCGTGTGGGCCGTTACGAACTTATGGGCCATTTCATCAAAGGCTTCTATGGAGCGTGCTGGTAGCTGCGAATACTAGGTTAATGCCCCTCCCGTAAGGGTCTCGCCGAACTTCTTCAGCGGGATGGAAGACACCTGTTCTTTGGCAAGGTCATTGCCTTTTACGGTGTTGACGTAATGAGTCACATGATCTTCAGGGTCGGTTGTGCCGTCATATATTCTGTGGTATGGCGACATTAAGGTTTTTGGTATAGCATGTGGGGCACCGTCATCACTGTACAGTTGTTTGACGAACCGGCATCCCTCTTCAGCAATAGCTTAGGGGCGCCCGGTATTTTATCGACCCTTTCTTGGTGTTCCTTCATTTGGTCTCGGAGTTCCTTGGTTTCATTCTCCATTTCTTCCATCCTTTTCAGAACGGCTGCAAGGGCGTTGTCACCTGCACTATCAATGACATTGTGAGTCATACTTGTCCTTTGAGGAAAAGGCTAGTTGCGCTGCTCATCTGCCTGTTGTATCATGCAAGTCCTTGCATTTTCAATAAATGTGCCTCGAGTGGGCCTGTTGAGTACGCTGACTAGCGTGTCAGTTAGCCACGCTTCGAGGAGCTTTTTTATAGCTAGGGGCGTCTCTTCCCCCATAGATGTGGAGGTTCCCTTGCCACGAGACTTTGTGATGCTGCAGTGAGGGGGCGGAGAACCATCTCACTTAGGGAAGGCACTAGGCGTCGCACCTTCGTCTGCCGTTTCACAGCTTTTGTTAATGATGTTCATGAGGTTGGTCGGGAGGCCATTTATAATCTTTTTCCTTCCTTCTTAGTTACCTGCCATATTGGGATTTGTGTACACAAAGAAAGGAGATCTGGTTTTTTTGTGACGTTAGTGACTCGTGTTAGTTGTAGATCTAGAGGAAACTAAAATTTAACTAAGAAATCCCCACAGATGGCGCCAAATTATTTGACCCAACGATATGACTCTTGGTTCAAATGTTTGTTTTTCTTTTTGTGGACTGTTATGTGGAAACACCCCCTAATCAATGAAAATATGCTCTGTTTTCTATTGTTATATGATACTTCTGATCTAAATAGTTAAATTTTTTTTGTGAAGTTGATTATTGATTAACTATATCATGTTTTCACTTGCAGTTGCCCAAGTGGCCATGAGTATTAATTAACATCTGGGATTCATATAATATGCAACTTTTTGATGATGCCAAAAGGGGGAAGAGATATTGTGCTTTACTTTGTATTCTGAAAAATGTGATGTTTATAACCTGATTAAACCTGGTCCTTAATGATAAGTTAAATTAAAGTGTGAAAATTATGCTGAGTTCCACAGGGTCTCTGATCAATAAAAGCACAGAGTTTGTCATCATCAAAAAGGGGGAATTTGTTGGCCCAAGTTCAGATGAAGTTTTTAAGATTGACAAAATGAACTCAACCATGAACCAGGTCCATCATGTGAGACATACACAGTGTTGATATTTATTCATGTGACAGACGTGTCAAGATAAGTCTCAAGGGTCAGCAACAATCAGTAACAATATCTTCAGAGTTGATCGAAAAGGTTGCATAGGATAAGGAGTTGAAGTCTCCTTATGTAAAGAGAACTACATCCGGATCAAGGATAAGGATTGGAGTTTGAGTTGTTCTAGGACTCGAATTTGATGAAGGATCAGCAATTCGAGTTTTAATCAAACTCTGAGTACTAACTCTATAAATAATAATGATTGTTCTCTTTTACAGGTGATTGCACATACGCAGAAGCTAAACTAAATTGAGAGCAAAAGAGTTAGGCGAATTTTGCAAGCAATTTATGTGTGATTCAAGTGTGCAAATCTGAAGCTACATGAACCAAGAGTGAAGAACCAATTCCATTGTGTTTTTCTTTATTTCTAGTTCAATTATAGTAGGTGTTTCATATTGTACCTTTCAGCTTTATCATAGAAGCAATTGTATTAGGTACTTTGAGTATTCAAGTTAGAGTTAACTTGAAAGTGTCGCAGCAGTTGAGGCTGTGTGCCACACTGGGATTAGAGTTTAATCCTTAGGTTTACAAGAGTTTGTAAATGCTGTTTTTGGCTCAGTGATTTTAGTGGAAGTTTGGGAAAATCCTACTGAGTAGTAGGTCGTGGTTTTTTTCACCTTTTGAGCCAGGTGTTTTCCACGTAAAAATCTCTGTGTTCTTTATTTTATACACTTTTAATTCGCAAACAGTCATAGTAAGTACATCTTGAAGAACCTGGTTCTTCTAGTGCGAAAATTGGGTACCACACAAATTACCCCCCCTTTTTGTGTGGTATTGACGTTTAGAACTTCATGTGGGATCTCTAAAAGAGCAAAAACAACCCTAAATATATATATGGAAAAAACGGCGACGGTCCGCCTACCTCAAGAGCCAATCAGAAACAGATGACCGATATCGCTTGGGGAAGATACAATGGCGTAATCGCCTCGGTAGCTTTGCAGCCATGTAATGTCTCGAGAATGGAGACCCCCATACCCCTGCGAGTCCTGGGGCGGTACCCGACCTTGAGGACCTCCATCAAAGGGAAGTTAGGCTCCAAGATGCCAACGTAATCATCGCTAGTCCCGAGGTGGTACCCGACCTCGAGGACCTCCATCAAAGGGAAGATAGGCTCCAAGAGGCCAACATAATCATCGCCATTCCCGAGGTGGTACCCGACCTCGAGGACCTCCATCAAAGGGATGTTAGGCTCCAAGAGGCCAACGTAATCATCGCCAGTCCCGAGGTGGTACCGGACCTCGAGGACCTCCATCAAAGGGAAGTTATGCTCCAGGAAGCCAGCAACATCCTCACCATTCCCAAGGTGATACCCGACCTTGAGGACCTCCATCGAAAAGAAGTTAGGCTCTAAGGAGCCAACGGCATCAGCGTAAGTCCCTAGGTGGTACCCAACCTTGAGGACCTCCATCAAAAGGAAGTTAGGCTCCAAGGAAATAAGCATTTAAGCTCCGCACATATGGGCTTGATCACGGGGTACCGCCTAAATTCGGGTAAAACGTCGTTCTGGATCTACCTGCAACGCCTTAAGGCTATTTACGATAAGATCAAAACAAACTTCAAGATGGCCCGAGTTTTGAATAAACCCGCACTCGGGGACTACGCTCGAAAACTTAAAGGCAGTCCCTGTCCTCGGACCTCCGAGAAAATTCCCCCCCCGAAGATTACCGCGAGGTCTAAATGATAAATCCCGGTCACAGGGCTCGAGGCGTTACTTCCATTCAACCCAAAGTAAGGGTCCCGGCGACCCGAGTTTATCGGTCCAATCCAGGCTTGGTCCGAGGAAAGGCAAGGGGTTCCACGGAGAACCATATTAATTAATCAAAGGTCAGAGAAATACACTTCCACCTGGTCTTGATATCAATACCGGCCGGTGGAGTCATGCATTCGGAGTCTCCATAAGCGAAAATAAAAGGAAACATATCAAACACCGGAGACAAAATTGAAGAAACATCTTTGTATTCATGAACATTTGATTACAAAAGCCCACGAGGGGTCCTTACACAGAAACAAAGAAGCGAAAGGGTACACGTATAGTAAAAGCCTAGAGCCTAGCCTACTCTTAAAGGTGCTTCCTCGACAGCAACATTTTCGAGCATCATCTCCTCGGGCACGCATCCTCGGCGGCAATATCTTCTATCGCCACCTCCTCTGGGGTTTAATCTCTATCCTCTAGAATGGCATCTTCAAAAGGGGAGATAAAGAGGAGGAAAGTGGTGGAGAAGAGCAAAGTGACGCAGAAGAAGCAGAAAAGAATCGAGAAGTGGCTGGGTGAAAAATTTGGCTAGGATGGACTTCGCCATCACTACTATTGCGAAGCCACTTCTTGAGACGTCACACCGGTGCAGGATGCAACAGTTAGTAGATAGTGCCACCTCACTCCATGGAAAGCAAAAGGAGAGAGGCGCCGCACCGGATAGTTGGGGGAGGTGAGCAGCAGTGTAGAGTCCGAACACCCCCTGAGCAGCGGTATAAAGTCAAAATATCCCCCCGAACCAGGGGAAATTGGCCCCTTACCTCGTTGTCCCGAGCCAACAACGATAACAACAACAACAATAGCAACGAAATGGCGTAATCTCGATCGACTAAAGAAAGCCCAGGAGACAGGCCATGACATGGCTGATGGAAACGCCGCCGTAAAATCTTGAGGCCATGGGCCTCAATCATGGTAAACGATAATGGTTAAGGATGGTAAGAAGAAAAGAACGGATAGATAT